AGCAGCAGCAACAGCAACAGCAGCACAGCAGCAGCAGCAACAGCAGCAGCACAGCAGCAGCAGCAGCAGCAACAGCAGCAGCAGCAACAGCAGCAGCAGCACAGCAGCAGCAGCAACAGCAACAGCAGCAGCAACAGCAGCAGCAACAGCAGCAGCAGCAGCAACAGCAGCAGCAGCACACAGCAGCATCAACAGCAGCAGCAGCAACCAACAGCAGCAGCAACAACAGCAGCAGCAGCAACAGCTGTAGCTACAGCAGCAGCTGCTACAGCGTCTCGGCCTCGACTTGTGTAGCCCCTCCCGCTCTCGCTCTCGAGTCACATGACGTCATCCGTCCCTACGCGGACGCGCTCATTGGCTACAGGATGCGCGTGCGTGACGTCATCACCCAGTGGGAGTTCGCCGATTGGCTTACGTGGCAATGGAGGGGTGGGGGGGGTTGTTGGTCGTGACGTCACCCCCACACCGGACCAATCGGAGAAGCGGAAAATTCTCGAGGGGGCGTGGCCCCCCTCGGAGGAGGACCAATGAGACGCGCGTATCGATTTTCTCTGCACGTGACTTCGGGTCAGAGGTCACGTGGTGTGAATGGCGACGTGGAACTCTCCACACGTGGCCACCCTCCTCTTCCTCCACCTCGCCACGTGCAGCCACGGTGAGTGGTGGTGCAGTGGTTAGCGCACTGTGGTGTGTGTGGGGAGTGGTGGTGCAGTGGTTAGCGCACTGTGTGTGTGTGGGAGTGTGTGGTGCAAGTGTTTAGCGCACTGTGTTGAGTGGTGGTTCGTGGTTAGCGCACTGTGTGTGTGGGGGGAGGTGGTGGTGCAGTGGTTAGCGCACTGTGTGTGTGGGGAGTGGTGGTTCACTGGTTAGCGCACTGTGGGGTGAGTGAGTGGTGGTGCAGTGGTTAGCGCACTGTGTGTGTGTGGGGGGAGTGTGGTGCAGTGGTTAGCGCACTGGTGTGAGTGGTGGTGCAGTGGTTAGCGCACTGTGTGTGAGTGTTGTTTTCCCCATCTGCCCAGTTGCGCCGTATCTACTGAAGGTTGCGTTTGGAGTCTCAAGACCTCCTGGCGACGCTTTGCTGGGACCCCGTTGAAGTGGCTCCTGTGGGGGGTGGAGGAGAGAGACCCCCACCTGTTGACCCTTCAAGCTCAACTCCACCACCACCACCAACTCAACGGTTCCTGAATGTCACCTACAGAGTTCAGAGCAAACTGTGAGATGCTCACTCACTCACTCAGCCACTCACCCCATTAAGTCACTCACTCACCAACCCACTCGCTCACAACCAACCCAACTCACTCACCAACCCACTCACCACCAACCCACTCACTCACCCGCCAACCCACTCACTCAGCCACTCACTCACTCAGCCACCTCACTCAGGCACTCACCCATTAATTCACTCACTCGTCAACCCACTCACGAACCACTCACCCACCAACCCACTCACCCACTCACCCATTCATTCACCCACTCACTCACCGACCCACTTACATCACCAACCCACTCACCCACCCACTAACCCACTCACCACACTCACCACCCACTCACTCACCACCCACTCACGTCACTCAGCCACTCACTCACCCACCAACCCACTCACCTACCAACCCACTCACTCACTCAGTCACTCACATCACTCAGCCCCTCACTCAGCCACTCACTCATTCATTCACCATCACCAACCCACTCACTCACCCACCAACCCACTCACCCACCACCCACTCACTCACCTCACCAACCCCACCCACCACGCAAACCCACTCCCCACTCCTCTCCTCACCACCCTCACCACTGCTCCCCTGTGTCTCTGTCTGCGCAGCTTCAGACGCGCCCTCTGGCAGACCGTCTGTGCTGCCACCAAGACACGTGGCTGCGACGTCTCTTCAGCGCTGGACGATGCCGGTGGCCGCTATCCTCCTCCGGTGAGATTCTCCGTCTCGTCCTCACCACCGCTGTCCTCATCCTGGTCGCGCTTGAGGTCGTGCCCTTGAGGGAGAGTGAGTGTCACGAGATTGTGCATATGCCTACGTCTCTGTGTGTGTTTCTCTGTGTGTGTGTGTGTGGTCTCTGTGTGTGTGTTTTCTCTGTTATGTTGTGTGGTTTTCTCTGTATATGTGTTGGGTGGGTCTCTGTGTCTCTGTGTGTGGGTCTCTCTCTGTGTGTCTCTGTGTGTATCTTGTGTGTCTCTGTGTGTGTGTGTTTCTGTGTGTGTGTGTCTCTTGGTGTGTCTCTGTGTCTCTGTGTGTGTGTGTCTCTGTGTGGTCTGTGTGTGTCTCTGTGTATGTGTGTCTCTGTGTAATGTGTGTCTCTCTGTGGTGTGTCTCTGTGGTGTATCTGTGTGTGTCTCTGTGTGGTCCTCTCTCTGTTGTGGTCTTTGTGTTTGTGTCTGGTGTGTGTGTCTCTCTCCGGTTGGGAAACATTTAGGCTGGCCTGCCTACGATCCATCCTGGGTTTAACCAGGTTGGATTGTGTGAGGAGCTCACAATCCTTGAAATATCTGGGCAAAGTCCCATCGGTGAGCTCCTCCGGAGACCATGTCTCTGTGTGTGTGTGTCTCTGTGTGTGTCTCTCTGTGTGTGTCGTATAGTGTGTTGTCTCTCCTGTGTCTGTCTCTCTCTCTGTGTCTCTGTGTGTGTGTGTTTCTCTGTGTGTGTGGGTGTCTGTGGGTTTCTGTATATGTCTGTGACTCTTTTTGCCTGTGAGTGTGTTTCGGCTCACAGGGGGGAGATCATACAAAACTCCACTCACTCACTCTGTAGAACAGGGGTAGATCATACAAACTACACTCACTCACTCTGTAGAACAGGGGTAGGATCACACAAACTCCACTCACTCTGTAGGACATGGGGAGATCATACAACTCCACTCACTCACTCACTCTGCAGAACAGGGGGAGATCATACCAACTCCACTCACTCACCTCTGTAGAACAGGGGGAGATCATACAAACTCCACTCACTCACTCTGTAGGCAGGGGGAGATCATACAAACTCCACTCCCTCACTCACTCTGCAGAACAGGGGGAGATCATACAAACTCCACTCACTCACTCTGCAGAACAGGGGGATCACACAACTCCACTCACTCACTCTGTAGAACAGGGGAGATCATACAAACTCCACTCACTCACTCTGTAGGACAGGGGAGATCATACAAACTCCACTCACTCACTCTGCAGAACAAGGGGAGATCATACAAACTCCACTCACTCACTCTGCAGAACAGGGGAGATCATACAAACTCCACTCACTCACTCTGCAGAACAGGGGAGATCATACAAACTACACTCACTCACTCTGCAGAACAGGGGGAGATCATACAAACTACACTCACTCACTCTGTAGGACAGGGGAGATCACACAAACTCCACTCACTCACTCTGCAGAACAGGGGGAATCATACAAACTACACTCACTCACTCTGCAGAACAGGGGAGATCATACAAACTACACTCACTCACTCTGTAGGACAGGGGGAGATCACACAAACTCCACTCACTCACTCTGCAGAACAGGGGAGATCATACCACTCCACTCACTCACTCTGTAAACAGGGAGATCATACAAACTCCACTCACTCACTCACTCTGCAGAACAGGGGGATCATACAAACTCCACTCACTCACTCTGCAGAACAGGGGAGATCATACAAACTCCACTCACTCACTCTGCAGAACAGGGGAGATCATACAAACTCCACTCACTCACTCTGCAGAACAGGGGGAGATCATACAAACTCCACTCACTCACTCTGCAGAACAGGGGGAGATCATACAAACTCCACTCACTCACTCTGCAGAACAGGGGAGATCATACAAACTACACTCACTCACTCTGCAGAACAGGGGAGATCATACAAACTCCACTCACTCACTCTGCAGAACAAGGGAGATCATACAACTCCACTCACTCACTCTGCAGAACAGGGGGAATCATACAAACTCCACTCACTCACTCTGTAGAACAGGGGGTAGATCATACAAACTACACTCACTCACTCTGCAGAACAGGGGAGATCATAAAACTACCTCACTCACTCTGTAGGACAGGGGGAACACAAACTCCACTCACTCACTCTGTAGGACAGGGGGATCACACAAACTCCACTCACTCACTCTGCAGAACAGGGGAGATCATACAAACTCCACTCACTCACTCTCTCTGTAGGACAGGGGAGATCATACAAACTCCACTCACTCACTCTGTAGGACAGGGGAGATCATACATCTCCACTCACTCTGTAGGACAGGAGATCATACAATCTCCACTCACCCACTCCCCCCACTCTCCCCCCACCACTCACCCCACTCCCCCCCACTCTCCCCCCACCACTCCCCCCACTCTCCCCCCACCACTTCCCCCCACTCTCCCCCCCCCCACTCTCCCCCCACCACTCCCCCCACTCTCCCCCCCCCCACTCTCCCCCCACCACTCCCCCCACTCTCCCCCCCACTTCCCCCCACTCTCCCCCCCCCACTCTCCCCCACCACTCCCCCCACTCTCCCCACCACTTCCCCCCACTCTCCCCCTCTCTCTCCACTCTCCCCCCACCACTCCCCCCACTCTCCCCCCACCACTTCCCCCACTCGCCCCCCCACTCCTCCCCACCACTCTCCCCCCATCCACCCCCACACTCTCCCCACCACACTCCCACTCTTACCCCCCCACTCCTCTCCCCAACACGCCCCCCACTCTCCCCACCCATTCCCTCCCCCACTCTCCCCCCACCACTCTCCTCCCCCCACTCTCAGCTCTCCCCACTCCCCCCCACCACGTCTCCCCCACTACTCCCCCCCCACTCTCCCCCCACCCACTCATCCCCCCCACCACTTCCCCCACTCTCCCCCCCCCACTCTCCCCCCACCACTTCCCCCCACTCTCCCCCCCCGAGAGAGCGACGCGCGCGCTTCGCAGTTGCCACCGTCACCGCGACAACAACAACCCACGGGGGCGGCAGCAGCAGGCAGCAGCAGCATGGGCCTCCTGCTGCACAGAGTCATGGCCTCCCGCCACCCGCGTCCCCAGCGGCTGTGGCTGCTGGCGCCGCTGGCGCTGTGCGTACTACTCCACCACCAAAGCGCGGCCTTGACTCTGTGCGGGAGCCAGCTGGTCGACGCCTTGGCGTTTGTATGCAACGGGCGAGGCTTCTACGCGGCGCCACCAGCTGGCGTGCAGCGGCAGCGGCAGCAGCTAGGCGGCATCACAGAAGCGTGCTGCCTGCGCGCCTGCTCGCTGCTGCTGCTGGAGCGCTACTGCGCACAGCCGCAGCTGCTGCACAAGAAGCAGCAGCTGCACAAGAAGCAGCAGCAGCAGAAGCAGCTGCAGCAGCTGCACAAGAAGCAGCAGCAGCAGAAGCAGCAGCTGCACAAGAAGCAGCAACAGCCCACGCGACTGGGCAGCACGCCGTGAACACAACAACAACAACAAGACGTTGAAGTAAATGAAAATGTTTATTCCTTCTGTGAAACACTAACAAGTACATTAATAAAATGAGCGGAAGCCCTAAAAAAAAGAGGGGGGCGAGGAAAAAAAGAAAAACAATAGTGACACGTGGAGTTGTATAGAGTGAGGAGGAATTAGGTAAGACGGGAGCATTGAAAAAGACAAAAAAAAAACGACACGATGAACGAAATCAATTTGCCGAACACACCGAGCATTTTGTTACGTTGTGATCGTAAAGACACCAAGAAGACGAGGAGGAGAGTGACAGAGGCAGGGAGAGAGGACAGGAGGGGGGAGAGGCAGTGAAAGCGGCAGCAGCACCCACTCAGTCACTCACTCACATACTCACCCACTCGCTAACCTACTCACCCACTCACTCACCTACTCACCCACTCACTCACCTACTCACCCACTCAGTCACTCACTCACATACTCACCTACTCAGTCACTCACTCACATACTCACCACTCGCTCACTCACCTACTCACCCACTCACCTACTCACCCACTCACTCACCTACTCACCCACTCACTCACATACTCACCACTCACCCACTCAGTCACTCACTCACAAACTCACCCACTCACCCACTCAGTCACTCACTCACCTACTCACCTACTCAGTCACTCACTCACATACCCACTCACTCACCTACTCCCCCACTCGCTCACTCACCTACTCACCCACTCAGTCACTCACATACCCACTCGCTCACATCACCCGCTCACTCACTCACCCACTCAGTCACCTACTCACTACCTACTCACCCACTCAGTCACTCACATACTCACCCACTCGCTACACTCACCTACTCACCTACCTACTCACCCACTCAACCTACGTACCCACTCACTCAACCTACTCACTCACCCACTCACTATCCTACTACCCACTCACCTACTCAATCACTCACCTACTCACTAACCTATTCACTCACCAACCCACTCCACCTATTCACTCACACTACTCACTCACCTATTCACTCATCTACTCGCTCACCTACTCATCTACTCACCTCGCTCACCTACTCACTCACCTACTCCACCAGATTGCCGTGGCCACGTGCCGCTTGCTCCCTTCTGTCCACGATTCTTGACCGTCAAGCCATCAAGTCCGCGAACAAATGGGCGACAACAACAACAAAAATAAATAATACACACACTTCCATCGACATATCTAAAAAGGTCGAGCGAAAATTCGCGTTTGTGGCCGGTGTCCCATGCTGTGATCAAAGCCCGGCAAGTGGCGTTGGTGGCCACGCTGCTGCTGCCTGTTTAGCGAGCGCTGCGGCAGGCAAGCGGCGAGGGTTGGTGGGTCACTGAACAAACGCTTGCGAATCTCCCTTCAACGCGGGCGTCGAGGAGGAGGAAGTCGCGCTTCCTTGGCTCGTCGTGAGAAAGGCGGTACAGCCAATGGACTGACCTCTCCGTCTGTTACCGTCTGTAACGGACGGGGGGGGGGGGGGCAGGGGGTGTCGCTACCATTAAGGAGCGTGGGTTTTACTTCGGGTGCTCCACTTTTCTCCCGCTTGTATGACGGACGCCCACATTTAATTGTCTTAAACAAATCTTAAGATGAAATAAGTATAACCCGTAAAAACAAAGTTTTTCACTATAAATCCTTTATATGCGTGGCAGCTAGAGTCCTCTCGTCCTCTGGCTTGAGATGGCTGCCACCTATGGGTCAGATGATTGTCAGTATTAAGCAATTGGTAATTAAATATTTAATTTGTTTTCCCTAAACAGTGTAAAATTTTGGAAAAAAAAGTTCACGAAAATTAATTGTCACACACAACGAGTCTGTGTGGCAAAATGTCAGCTCGATTGGATCACGGGAAGTGGGGTTAAAAAACGACCGACAGATTTGCACGGTCGTAAGCAAGCAAGCAAGTGAACTTAATATAAAGGATTTAAAAAAAGAAGCCGATCACGCGGCGAGCACCCTCGTGAGAAAGAGCAGTTGGACTCAGCGTTGTTATTGCACGTGTACGACACACCGGCTACCTGAGGCAGTGCAACAAGTGGATTGCAGATACAGCTGTGATGTGGAATTTGAGTGTTCTCCCTGAGTATCTATCGATTTTGGTCCAGGCACTGTTTACCGCGGGTGCTAAAACGTTCACCCTGTATTTATGTATTCATGTTAGACAATCATTGGTGACTGGGTTGAGGTTATAAACCTTCTTACACCTGAGAACTTGCTTTACTCACGGGTGGCTTGATACTCAGATTCGAACCCAGGCTCCCATCGGTCCCGGGGGCTTGAGTCATTAACCCCCTCTCCTCCCCTCCCCTCCCACCGGGGCACTCGGCCAGAACGCCGTTGCAAGTTTATAGGACGGGGAAATCGGTTTGGTTGATCATTGACCTTCCAGCCATCAAAAGGTTGCAGCAAATCCTCAGCGCCAAACAAGCGACACAATTTCAGTTGATTAGAAGGGCCGCGGTGGGGTGGCGTGTAGTGGGAGGGGGTTGTGGGAGGTTCCTCGCCACTGATCCAGCAGTGGCTATGAGATGTTAACTCCCTCGCCACGTGTGCAGGAGGCCGTGGGTTCGATCCCGACCCTGACGCCTGCTGCTGCGTATTTGCAGTTCGCGTGCCTCTCCTTCTCCCCGTGGTCGCGTGGATGTTTCTCCCGGGTCCTCCGTTTAAACAACATCGTGCTGTACTGGCAACGTTAACAATCACACGATAAGTAAAAACCACACAGCCGCAGCATCGCCCCAAACAGCGGAACCACCGCTGACTAAACCCGCGTGCGCGTGTCAGGCTCGCGCAGTGAGAACGGTGGCGACAAATACCAACTGCGATCACGCTGGTCAACACACTTTGTCTGGCACGAGGTATTCCAAGGGTTTTAATGTAATTTGGACTTTTGCAGCTGTTCTATACTAATTTCAGGGTGCTGATTCCAAATCTGGCATCAGTTTTTGTCTATCACATCAGGTTTTTGAAATATCAAATATTGCATTTTCAATAAAAACTGCGGAAGAAAATATTAAATAAATGTGGATATCTACATAAAATGATATTCTAAACATACAGCACCATATTTTAACACTAAAGCAGTCACTGACTCGCAACCACTTGCAATCATAAGTGACAGAGTTAATTTCGAGTAAAATCAATGAAAATGGGGTATGCCGATAGCATAAAATGAGATGTGATGGAGCAAATCTGAGATCAGATTTGGAATCAGCACCCTGAAATTAGTCTAGAACAGCTGCAAAAGTCCAGGCCAGAAAAACATGTTGTTTTTTGTTGACCAGTGTAATTATTTGATTTCTGAGATGCCGAATCGGAGCCATAGAGCACAGGGTTTTTGTTTTATTGTCGTAGTTTTGTAATGGCTTCATTCGTGGTGCGTGCCCGTCGTCGTGGTAATGAACACGGCGTGTTGTGTTCACTAAAGACAATTCCGCTCGTGCACAATGTTACAGGAAGCGCAGTTTGAAGTCATTCGGTACAAACTAATTGAATTTAGTCCACGGCCACGTGTATTGGCGGCAGAGAGAAGGAGCGGACCTTGTAACCAATTCAATTCGAGTCGTTCCCCGTCTCCGTTTTTTTGTTAGTTTTGTTAACCAGCCGAGATCCCATTGTCATCTGCAAGGGGTGGGGGAGGGGGGTAAATCCCCAGATCGAGCGCGTTTGTACGCCACAGAATTCGCAAGTACGCGACGGAGTTAGGCAACAGAAACTGCCTCTCTCCCGCGGAGACTTGTTTTTTGCTTCGTTACTCGCAAATCCCTCTGATCCTCCGAGGGCGCTGGGTCCACACCAACATCTCCCAACCGCAGCCGCTCCGATTCTCACTTTTATTTTTTGTGTTGCCGTGAATTTCCGTGGCTTATTTATTTTTCATTTCCCAGCGGATAAAGGATAAGCGGCGATATTTCCCCCCACCGCCGCCCCCCCGTGTCAAAGTGTATAACAGGAGCACTTTTCTAATAAAACATTTTTTTTAAATAATAATAATCTGTAATTGTGGAGTGCTTTGATGTTGTATGCCGGCCGTGTCGCCCTTGAAAAGGAGGGCTTGTCAGCTGGTCCGGGCTTTCTTCGTCCAGTGAAACTTCTGAACTTCTGAAAAAAATAGAGCTTCGAAGCTCATCGGATTTCTCAAATTTAAAATAAATATTTTGATTCGTATAACTATAGACACACAACGTACGGAGGAGCGCTGTGTCCATCCCCTGCTGCTGGATGAATGCCTCCCCCTCGCCGTGGGCACTGTTTGACCATACTTCACCACGCTGGTCACCGCGGGGATGCGGTGAAAGGCAACCACGATGTGGTTCAGATGTGACTCACCGCTGATGTCAGCAGTGGCCGGGAATTGAAACTCAAGTTGCTGGATTTGCAGCGGAGTGCTGTAAACTAAACTAAAAAATAGTTAAGTTTAGTTTGTGTACATTTGTAAGTGATTCGATTACCTTTCCTCTACTTAGGACTCCTATTGTGTGTTTGTGTCGTTTGTTGTTGGCACGTTCTGACCTGCCCCGACTTGACATCTGTCTAGAAGAGCTTTATCGCTCATCGGATTCCTCCAGTATAAACATTCTGATGGTGTGCGCTAACAACTGCGCCACCGCTCCACGCCGAGCGCTCATGCTGCCAGCTCGTGCATTGTGCGCACACGTGGTGGTCACACACAACAACGCGTCTCATGAAGACAAAACACTCAGCACGTTCGTCAACAATGTTGTGGCCTTCAAATAAAACAAATTAGATGTTGGCCAATGGAATTTGCTGATATCACACACACACACACATACTCTTAGGTTGATTTTCTTTCGGTAAAGCCACGTAGGTAAAAATTTTAAATTAATAAAAGTAAAATAAAATAAAAATCACGACATTTCAGTTTGTACAAACTGAGTTGCAGTGGTGATGGTGGTGGTGATCATGGTGATGATGGTGGGGATGATGGTGGTGATGGTGGTGATGATGGTGGTGGTGATGGTGTGGTGATGGTGGTGGTGATCATGGTGATGATGGTGGTGATGATGGTGTGATGGTGGTGATGATGGTGATGATGGTGGTGGTGATGGTGGTGGTGATGGTGGTGGTGATGATGATGGTGGTGGTGATGGTGGTGATGATGGAGGTGGTGATGTTGGAAGTAGAGGTCGTGGTGTTGGTGGACGTTACAGTGGTGGTGGTAATAGTGGATGGTGGTGGTGATGGTAGTGATGGAGGTGGCCTCAACCACCACCACCATCACTCACCACCATCACTCACCACCACCACCCTCACCACCATCACTCACCACCACCACCCTCACCACCATCACTCACCACCACCACCCTCACCATCACTCACCACCATCACTCACCACCATCACTCACCACCGTGATGATGATGATGAGAGAGATCGAACCCACGACCTCCTGTAGACCAGGCGAGGTGGTCAACATCTCATAGCCACCGTGATGATGATGATGAGAGAGATCGAACCCACGACCTCCTGTAGACCAGGCGAGGTGGTCAACATCTCATAGCCACCGTGATGATGATGATGAGAGAGATCGAACCCACGACCTCCTGTAGACCAGGCGAGGTGGTCAACATCTCATAGCCACCGTGATGATGATGATGAGAGAGATCGAACCCACGACCTCCTGTAGACCAGGCGAGGTGGTCAACATCTCATAGCCACCGTGATGATGATGATGAGAGAGATCGAACCCACGACCTCCTGTAGACCAGGCGAGGTGGTCAACATCTCATAGCCACCGTGATGATGATGAGAGAGAGATCGAACCCACGACCTCCTGTAGACCAGGCGAGGTGGTCAACATCTCATAGCCACACGGAGCCATCGGAACGGATAATTTAATCGATGATAATCGATCATCAGAGAGAGGGAGACACGCAAAACGATGATTATAATCGATGGGAATCGATTAGCAGAGAGAGACGCGCAAACCAACGATTAGAATCGATGAGAATCGAAGAAACGATTCCCGGTGGACGTCATAACCCGGAGACCATCGCCAAGTTCAAGATGGCGGCACCCAGGTTGGAGGTTGTGTTGTGGTGGTGGTTGTTGTTGTGGTTGTGGTGGTTGTTGTGGTGGTTGTGGTGGTGGTTGTTGTGGTGGTGGTTGTTGTGGTGGTTGTTTGGTGGTGGTTGTTTGTGTGGTGGTGGTGGTTCTTGTTGTGGTGGTTGTTTGTGTGGTGGTGGTTGTTGTGGTGGTTGTTGTGGTGATGGTTGTTGTTGTTTGTGTGGTGGTGGTTGTTGTGGTGGTTGTTGTTTGTGTGGTGGTGGTTGTTGTGGTGGTGTTGTGATGGTTGTTGTTTGTGTGGTGGTGGTTGTTGTGGTGGTTGTTGGGTTTAACGAGGCTGCATTGTGTGAGGAGCTCACAAATTCTTGAAAGATCTGGTCAAAGTCCCATCAGTGAGCTCCTCCGGCAGGCAAGGCTGCGTTGGCTGGGTCATGTAGCCCACATGCCCAGCCACCGCATGCCTAAACAGCTTTTGTTCGGCCGGATCGAGGGGGCTAAACGGGCGTGGCACGGGCTAGAGAAGAGATGGAGTGATGTGGTACAGGAGGACGTGGAGCTGAGTGGACTTGCCGATGACTGGTACCAGCGGTGTCAAGATCGGCCTCTGTGGAGGAGGCTCGTGAAGGACGCTACTGGGCAGTTGGAGGCAGTCGCCCTCCAACAACAACGGAGGGCGGAGGAGCGACGCTCACAACAACGAGCGGAGCGCCGGGTGGCTAAAGCACAACAAGTTGGCACAGTTTGGGGCACAGGTGGTGCATCAGCCAGTCATCTCGGGTCATCTCAGTCAGTCGACCTGTGGCACCTGGGTCTGCCCCGTGACCCTCCTGCCAGCGGGCGTTCGACACTTCACGTGGCCTCGGTGCACGTGGCCTGGCACAAGCGTCGTGGTGACATCACCGCCACTTAGTGGCGAATGGCGGTTGCTGTTGTTGTAATGTGTGTGTGTCTGTGTGTAATGTCTACACACACACACGCTCACCTCTCCCCCACTCTCCCCCTCCCAGGCCGAAGGACTTTGTCACCACCATGGCCACCACGGCCCTCCTGTCTGACGCTCCACGCCCTGCTCTTGCTGCTGCTGCCCCTGCTGCTGTCCCTGCTGCTGCCCCTGCTGCTGCTGCCCCTGCTCCTGCTGCCCCTGCTACTGCCCCTGCTGTCCCTGCTGCTCCTGCTGCCCCTGCTGCCGCCGCACCACCGCTTGGCTCCCTGCCGCGCCGCTGGTTGTCCGGCTTTGTGGGCGCTCTCGGGAGACTTGCTTCTTCACCACCAGCACCGCCACCCGCCGCCGCTGCCAACACCCGCCGGAGGGGGGGCGGCAGAGAGAGGAGAGGAGGCTTCTCGGTGGGGGAGGGTGGGGAGGTGGTGGTGTTGGTGGTATTGGCGGTGGTGTTGGCGGTGGTGGTGGTGGCGGTGTTGGCGGTGGCGGTGGTGGCGGTGGTGTTGGCGGTGGTGTTGGCGGTGGTGGTTGTGGTGTTGGCGGTGGTGGCGGTGGTGGTGGTGTTGGCGGTGGTGGTGTTGTTGGCGGTGGTGGCGGTGGTGGTTGTGGTGTTGCCGTTGGTGGCGGTGATTGCGAGCAATCTGACAAGTTGGCGGTGGCGGTTGTGGTGTTGGCGGTGGTGGCGGTGGTGGCGGTGGTGGGGATGTTGCCGTTGGTGGCGGTGATTGCTACCCACACTCACCACCAACCCACACTCACCACCAACTCACACTCACCACCCACACTCACCACCAACCCACACTCACCACCAACTCACACTCACCACCATCCCACACTCACCACCCACACTCACCACCACACTCACCACCACCCACACTCACCACCACCTCACACTCACCACCAACTCACACTCACCACCATCCCACACTCACCACCAACTCACACCTCACCACCATCCCACACTCACCACCACCCACACTCACCACCACCCACACTCCCATCACCCACACTCACACACCCACACTCACCACCCACACTCACCACGCTCACCACCACGCTCACCACCACCCACAATCACCACACCACGCTCACCACCACCCACACTCACCACACCCACACTCACTACCCAACTCACCCCACCCACACTCACCACCCACACTCACTACCCACACTCACCACCACCCACACTCACCACACCCACACTCACCACACCCACCTCACCACCCACACTCACTACCCACACTCACCACCACCCACACTCACCACCCACACTCACACACCACCCACACTCACCACCACACTCACTACCCACACTCACCACCACCCACCTCACCACCCACACTCACCACCACCACACGCACCACCACCTCACTACCCACACTCACCACCACCCACACTCACCACCAACTCACACTCACCACCAACCCACACTCACCACCACCACACTCACTACCCACACTCACCACCACCCACACTCACCACCCACACTCACTACCACACTCACCACCACCACACTCACCACCATCTCACACTCACCACCATCTCACACTCACCACCACCCACACTCACCACCACACTCACCACCACCCACACTCACCACCACCCACACTCACCACCACCCACACTCACCACCACCCACACTCACCACCATCCCACACTCACCACCCACACTCACCACGCTCACCACCCACGCTCAACACCACCCACGCTCACCACACCCACACTCCACCACCACCCACACTCACCACCCACACTCACCACCCACACTCACCATCACCCACACTCACCACCACCCACACTCACCACCCACACTCACCAACGCTCACACACCCACGCTCACCACCACCCACACTCACCACCCACGCTCACCACCACCCACACTCACCACGCACCCTCACCACCCACACCACGCTCACCACCCACGCTCACCACCCCTACCCCAGGCACGCTGTGGAACCTGTCGTGCCACGAGTCTCTGAGGGCTGCGCTGGTGGCGCTTTGCCTCCCGGCGCTGGTGGAGCACGTGCTGGTGCCAGGGAGCGGCTGGAGGAGCAACTTTGGAGACTCGCTCTCCTCGCCCTCCTCACCCTCCTCACCCTCCTCACCCTCCTCGCCCTCCTCGCCCTCCTCACCCTCCTCACCCAGCTCGCCCTCCTCACCCAGCTCGCCCGCCTCGCCTTCCGCGGCGTTCTGCAACGCCTTGGCGTGCCTACGGTAAGGGGCGGTGATTTCGTGGTGGACGCGACGGGGAACGCCGCGGTTGACACGACGTCATGCGGTGGACGCGACGGGGAACGTCGGGGGTTCACGTCACGGCGGTGACATTGCAGGGAGTTGAGCTCGGCAGATCCGGACGGACGGCTGAGCACGTGGAAGGGTGAGGGGCTGGTGGACTGCGTGCTGCGCTTCGTCCGCTCGGCACTGAGAGGGCGCAACATCGAGACCAAGGTGACCCCCACAGCGCGATGGGTAGCGGTGGTGTAGCGGTTAGCGCTACGCTGCTCTATGAACCCGGCGGCGGGTCCAAGTGTGTCGAGTCCAACTCGGTCGCAGACGTTGTCTTGGGAGCAACACTCTTCAGCAACACAACACAAGCTACACTTGGGTGTTGACCGCGTGACTAGAGGCTTCTTCAACCCGATGCGGATCTTCATCGCCAGCAACACGAAGAACCCCGAGCCCCTCACTCTTTGGTCTGCATCAGCAGCAGGCCACGCTTTCCTGCCCGTTGACAGACACTTGCGTGGCGTCCGAAACGTCGTGATTTAATTTAGTTTTAATTTTATTTTATTTTTCACCTACGTGACTTTACCGAAAACACCAAAGAGTATGAATCATCGCAGTCGCGAAAACTTCAGATCTACAACCCCTCGCCCCGCCCACCTTCTAGATCTTTCCGGCTCTTTCCCGAAGGCTCCCCGAAGGCTCTTGTAGACCACGTGACCGCCCAGCGGCCCCCCGTCCACCGGTGGCCCCCTCCAATATCATCCGGTCACGTGTCGGCAGGTCAACCGGCGTATCGTGCCCCAACGTAACCCTGGCTGGCTGACGCTCCCTCTCGCTCCCTCTCGCTCCCTCGCCGGGAGCCCGCACCGCACGCTGTACACGGTGCCTCCGCGCTGACCAGCGCTCACCCAGGCCCCCGCTAGGCTGGCGGTACTACGCCCAGTGAGCGGGCTGCACGTAATGCCAACACATCATCCGCCGTGGCTTCGTAGCCCGGCACCACACAGTGACAATCACAGTCACGACACAAGCAAGAACATCTGCTGGACTACATTGTGACGGACCAGTGCATGCGGGCCCATGTCCTTGACACCAGGAGCTGATTTGCCCACTGACCATTGACTTGTCATCTGCAAGATGCGCCTGCCATTCTTCCACTCCGGTGGGGGGTGTACACCCAGGACCCCATTTAAACCCATCGTGGCATGGCCTCAGCTAGCTGATTAAAGTTTCAAGCAAGAATTTCATCATCGCTTGCGGCTAGGGTTGGCATCGCCCCCCACTCCTCATGTCGAGGGGAAATGGGCGAGGTTTAGGACTGTGGCTCATGCAGCTGCAATGGCTACTTTGGGTACACGGTCCATACCTCCTCAGAGACCCTAGCTGACAAAAGAGGTGTTCAGGCTGGCTGAGAAAAAGCGACAGGCCCTCTCTCATCGTCTACAGCATCCCACGTCAGAGAATGAGGAAGCTTACCGCAGCCTTCGCTCGGAGGTTCGGAGAGCCGTGAGGCGCTGCAAGGATGGGTGGTGGTCGTGGGTTACTGAGGAGATGGAGTCTGCCTCAATGGCCTGCGATCACATATCGCTGTTTATTTCCATAAAAAGTAACCTGCAGCGCCATACCTATTACCATCATTAGGGAAACGAACGGTGATCCAATCTCCGACCCCCAGGAACAGGTTTGCAGATTTGCTGAGCATTTTGTGAGGTCCTGGGGGAGGGGAAATACCCCAGCCTGGAAAACATCATGGCACAAAGTGGGGATGACCCTGCTGAGGCTGCGGTGCCTCAAATATTGGAAGAGGAAGTCACCCCCTGTGAGTGCCTGGCTGAGGTGCCATCTGTTGAGGAAGTACTGAAAGCATTCCATAGCCTGAGACCAGGAAAGGCACCAGGCAGAGATGATCTCCCAAGTGTTGTGTGGTTATTCCTGACACCGCTGGAGACTTGTAAATCCACACGGAGACGGAGCTTCATGTAAGGGCTTGCGCCAGTTGTTTTATTAAACACTCTTCACACGACTCTGCTTACACTCTGAGTACTGCTGCACAATCACTGCCTATGCTGCACACCTGACGCCTTCGCCCGTCATGGTGCAGGCGTCGGACCTCTGGCTGCACGTAGAACTGTCTCCCATTACTCCACGCCCCGCCACGGCTCCCCCTCGTCTGCCCCGGGCGGGGGCACGCCGCCATCACCGCCCGGCGACGAGGTTGGGCTTCTAACCCTCGAGCCTTCCTCCTTCGGCGGCGGCGGCTGGGCTGTTCCCGCTGCAGGCACACGTTCCCGTGTCCTATCACACTCCACACCCCAGGGGAAGGGTACTGGGGATTCCTAGCACACCCGTAGGTTACCCTAGCCTGGTGCTAAAAATAGTGTAGTGTATAGTAGTGTGGTGTGTAGTGTATAGTGTAGTGTATATTGTATAGTAGCGTAGTGTATAGTAGCACCACCAGCACCACCACCACCACCACCTCCCTCCTTCACCACCAGCACCACCAGCAACACCACCACGGGAGTGTCGGCGAATCTCCAGGCGGGCTACATCAGTCCGGCCGTCATGTCCACGTAGTCCTAGCGCACACAGACAAGCAGACCCCCCATTGTGTGGCCTCAAACAGGCTGTCGGAGCAAGTGATGTTCGTGGGTAGAGGTGGAGAGAGATGGGGGAGAGGTGGGGGAGAGATGGGGGAAAGATGGGGGAGAGATGACAAAGACCAAGATCCCCGTGTAGCCTGAACAGACTGTAGGGGCAAGTGCTGTTAGCGAGTAGCAGCACCTATGAAGGCTACCGGCGCTGTGGCACACGAGGGGGTGGGTGGCCAGCACCACGCCCGGCCGCCTTTGTCTCCCCGGCGGCGATGTTTAATACACATACCACGTCAGGTACTCGATTGAGGCTGAGTCGACCTAGTGGAGACCCGGGACCAGAACAGATCATCGCTATCACTGGTGTGAAGAAGATCAACGTTTAGTCCTTTTAAATAAACATGTCATCATGGCCAAAGCCACCGCCGCCACCACCACCACCACCGCCACCACCACCACCGCCACCACTGCCGCCACCACCACCGCCACCACCGCCGCCACCGCCACCACCACCACCACTTCTCTTCCCTCTACGGCATCCTGCGAGCGTGGTGGCAAGCGGGAGGTCGCAGGTTCGACCCCTACGGCCTGACGACCCCCACGTCTCCATCTCTCTCTCTGCCCCGTGGCCCATGTCGCCCCCCCCCCCTCCCGGACGGGGCAGCGGTCACCTCGTCACGGCGGCCCCCGTTGGCCACGAGGATCCGCCCCAAGTCGTCCGCCAGCCGCGCGAACGTCGGTCTGTCGCTGGGGACGGTCGCCCAGCACTCGCTCATCGTCGCGTGTCTGCGCACGGCGACACGCGAGTCAAGTTCAACACGCGCCGTGCGTGTACACCGTGCGCACGGCGTACACGCAATGTGCACAGACATGCAGCTACTACATTTACAATCATAGAGTAGTGTATAGTGTAGTGTATAGTGTAGTGGATAGAGTAAACTCACTACTGTATTTACAATTATAGAGTAGTGTATAGTGTAGTGTATAATGTAGTGGATAGAGTAAACCCGCTACTGTATTTACAAGTATAGTGTAGTGTATAGTGTAGTGTACAGAGTAAACCCACTACTGTATTTACAATTATAGTGTAGTGTATAGTGTAGTGTACAGAGTAACCCCACTACTGTATTTACAAGTATAGTGTAGTGTATAGTGTAGTGTATAGTGTAGTGTATAATGTAGTGTATAGAGTAAACCCACTACTGTATTTACAATTATAGTGTAGTGTATAGTGTAGTGTATAGTGTAGTGTATAGAGCAGGGGTCTTCAAACTTTTCAAACAGGGGGCCAGTTCACTGTCCCTCAGATCGTTGGAGGGCCGGACTATAGTTACAAAAAAAACTATGAACAAATTCCTATGCACACTGCATATATCTTATTTTGAAGTGAAGAAACAAAACGGGAACAAATACAATATTTAAAATGAAGAACAAGTACGTTAAATCAACAAACTTGCCAGTATTTCAATGGGAACTATGGGCCTGCTTTTGGCTAATGAGATGGTCAATGTCCGGTTCCATATTTGTCACTGCTAGTCGTAACAAGTGATGCAAGTGTGCAACCATTAGTCTAGATCTGGTTGGAGATTTCAAATGTTTCATTCTGGAAAAAGTCTGTTCACAGACATAAGTGCTGCCAAAGATGGTTGCCATTTTGAGTGCATGGTTCCTGAGATGAGGATATGTCTCAGAGGGGAGAGATGCATATCAAGAGGAATTTAGCATATTTATGGGAAATGCAGGAATGTTATTAGTACTACATATGTCCGTGCTGCATATGTAGTACTAATCACATTCCTGCATTTCCCATAAATATGCTAAATTCCTCTTGATATGCAAATTCTTTTGTCAAGGCGCCCTTTCCCCCGCTTCCAACCCAGCTTATATATGCTCCAAGCTCGTGTGCTGTTTCATTCAGACGCTGTCTCCCCAACAGACCTGGTTTTCACCTGAGGACGGCTGCTTGCGTTGTGGCCGAAACGTCGTGAGAATTATTTTATTACTTCCCTTCTATGTGACTTTACCGAAAGAACCAAGAAGATGAATCCCTGCAGTCACGAAAGCTTTAAATCGAAAGATATCCTCTCCTGTAGTTGTTCCATTGATGCTTTGCAGTGCAGCAAGCTCTTCTGTGACTTCGAAATAGTCATTCGTCCCACGAATAAAAATTAGAAGTTGTGCAGAATCACGAACATCATTGCTTTCGTCGAGTGCCAAGGAAAAATAGGAAAGTTTTTTTGTGGAGTTTTGCAAATGCTGATGCAAATTGTCTCCCATTTCTTCAATCCTCCGTGTAATTGTAGGTCCTGAAAGACTCACTGTACTAAATAAATCGGCCTTCTCTGGACACATCTCTTTGTCAACAGAAAGAAGGCATTCTTTAACAAATTCTCCCTCCACGAATGGTCTGCCAGTGCACGCTATTAGCTTGGCAACTTGAAAACTTGCTCGCAGTGATGAAATATTTAGCTGCTTCTGCTTCACAAAAGTATTTTGCTGAGTTGCCAATGTATTTTTCAGTTTTAATATTTTATCTTTTCTCACTTCTCCGACCAAACAAGCATATTTATCTTTATGTTGAGTTTCATAGTGTCGACGTAAATTGTATTCTTTGAACACAGACACTATATTCTGGCATATCAGACACACAGCTCTTTCCTTGTACTGCATGAAAAGTAATCATAAGTCCACTGTTCTTTGAATATCCTACACTCCGAGTCAATTTTTCTCTTTCTTGACATCATTGTTTCCTAGGGAGTCAAAATTGCTATTAGTAAAATACCAATATATATACAGCGCTACAAAAACAATATACCAGCAATAACTTTGCCCACACAGAGACTTACAGACTGTACTGCCCATCAATGCAGTCTGATTGGGGGAACTCCGCCCCCTCTCCCTCTTCCACCAATGACCGTCCTTCTCATGTATAAAAAAAGTAACAGACAGGCAGCGGCGGCAAAAACACCCAGTGGGCCGGATAAATGTCCTCGGCGGGCCGCATATGGCCCGCGGGCCGTAGTTTGAGGACCCCTGGTATAGAGTAATAATAACAACAACATCAACGAACGACGCTCCTGTAGGTAACATGACGTCATCGTCGTAGTCGTCGTTGCGATCTCCGATTCCTACTCACAGCTCGTCGGAGCAGAGGGCAGGCCGCTCCATGCGGTAGCCGTCACCGAGCAGCTTGAAAAGCTTTTCCACGGGGACGCCCGGGTACGGAGAGCCCCCCAGGGTGAAGATCTCCCACAGCAGCACCCCGTAGGACCACCTGTACACACATACGCACAAACACGCGCACACATGCAAATGCATGCACAACCACACACACACACACGCATACACATGCATGCTCACGCACGTACACAACAACAACAACCGCCATTCGCCACTAAGTGGTAGTGACATCACCACGGCGCTTGTGCCAGGCCATGTGCACCTTGAGGCCACGTGAATTGTCGAACGCCCGCTGGCAGGAGGTCACGGGGCAGACCCAGCAGGTGCCACGGGTCGACTGACTGAGATGACCGAGATGACTGGCTGATGCACCACCTGTGCCCCCGACTGCCAACTTGCTGTGCTTTAGACATCCGGCGCTCCGCTCGTTGTTGTGAGCGTCGCTCCTCCGCTCTCCGTTGTTGTTGGAGGGCGACTGCCTCCAACTGCCCAGTAGCGTCCTTCACGAGCCTCCTCCACTGAGGCCGATCTTGACACCGCTGGTACCAGTCATCAGCAAGTCCACTCAGCTGCACGTCCTCCTGTACCACATCACTCCATCTCATCTCTAGCCCGTGCCGCGCCCGTTTAGCCCCCTCAATTCGGCCGAACAAAAGCTGTTTAGGCAAGCGTAGATAAGGGAGGGAATGACTGTGGCCGAGAAGGCCTGAAGCTTCGTGCGGAGCCGGTCATAAGCACACTGCCCAGGTATGGGAAACTCTCCACTCTCTGCACAACTGCCCTATCACCAATTGGGAAGTTGTGGGGTGGAGTGTCCAATGGTACAAAATACCCAGGCAGGTGCTGATGGTAAGGCTCCACCTCTTAGTGGCACACTCCAGTTTCAGCAGAAGCATCTCTAACTTCTCCTTTGAATGAGCAGCAATTACCAAATCATCGGCATACGTAACATGGTTGAGCAATAGGGAGCCATCCCTTGACCAAACCCGGGCATCGAATAGCCTCCCATTGCATCTGTACCACATGGAAATTCCTCCGGTACAGCTACTGAATGTTTCACGAACTACGTGGTTGAAATAGATGTTACATAATGTGGGAGCCAGAGGACATCCCTGTCGCACCCTAAAGTAAACAGCGAATGTCTCCGACTCCCGGCCACGTAGTTTTACCCGGGCCCGCTCACCATCATGAAGGTCCTTAATGATCGCGAGCAGAGGGTCAGGTACTCCGAAAGCACGAAGAACCCAGAGCCAATGCCTACTGATAGTATCATAGACCTTGACCGGGTCAATAAAGCAGAGATGTAGGTCTTGTTGGAATTCCATCCACCTCTGCTGTAGCAGACAGACAGAAAATATGGCATCTGTGCAGGACCGGCCTTTCCTGAAACCACATTGGGGCTCCTCAAGCCTCTCCTCAGCGTGCCTAGCAAGGCGATGTTGAATAATCCTTGCCAGGACCTTTCCCGGCACACTGAGGAGTGAGATGCCCCTGTAGTTGTTACAGTCTGTGCGGTCCCCCTTCTTAAAGAGTGGGACCACCAGGGCATCCTTCCAATCCTGCGGAACCCATCCATTGGTCCAGACTGTCGTTATGATGTCATGTAGGGCAGTCTGTGCACAAACGCCACTCTCCCTCAGCATGTCGCTTGGGAGATGATTTTTTGCCCGGTGCCTTTCCTGGTCTGACTCTGGATCGCCTTCAGTACTTCCTCAACAGATGGCACCTCAGCCAGCAACTCACAGGGGGTGACTTCTTCCTCCAATATTTGAGGCACCGCAGCCTCAGCAGGGTTATCCCCACTTTGCCCCATGATGTTTTCCAGGCTGAGGAATTTCCTCTCCCCCAGGATCTCAAAAATTCTCAGAAAATCTGCAAACCTGTTCCTGGGGGGTCAGAGATTCCCCTAATGATGGTAATAGGTGTGGCACTGTAGGTGACTTTTTTGATGGAGTTAAATAGTGATTTGTGATCGTGGGCCACTGAAGAAGACTCCATCTCCTCAGCAACCCGTGACCACCACCCATTCTTGCAGCGCCTCACGGCTCTCCGAACCTCCGAGCGAAGGCTGCGGTAAGCCTCTTCATTCTCTGACGTGGAATGCTGTCGACGATTAGAGTGGGCCTGTCGCTTTTTCTCAACCATCCTGAACTTCTCCTCTGTCAGCAGTGTGTCTGCTGACGTCACGCTCCCCCACCCCCCCAAACCCTCCGCGTAGGCCGTGTGTTAACCCAAGTCTCAGGCGAAGCCGGGTAGTAAAGCGAGTATTTGTATAATTGGCTAAGATGTGATTATTGCTGTGTTTTGTGATACTATTATTCTTCTCATTTCTTTCTTATTTTTTTTATTTTCTCTCTATTTTTACTTACGACTGACCTTCATATATGACCAAATACCCATCCCAAACGGCGTTAAAAACACAAAAAGAACCAATAAAAAAAAACTTCTCGCAGTGATCTCGCAGTGATCTTTGTATCTCAAAAACCCCCTGGCTGGAGGTGAGTGAGGGGACCAAAACAATGTACGCGGTTTTTTCCAGATCGTGGGGGGCCCGCGCCCTTAACCCCCGAGATGTGGAAGGGTCGACCGTATACAGCGGTAGCAGGCAGTGTCAGGGTCTGGATGGAACCCACGACCTCCTGCGTACCAGCCGAGGTAGTCAACGTGTCACAACCACTCACACAGGCAGTGTCAGGGTCTGGATGGAACCCACGACCTCCTGCGTACCAGCCGAGGTAGTCAACGTGTCACAGCCACTCACACAGGCAGTGTCAGGGTCTAGATGGAACCCACGACCTCCTGCGTACCAGCCGAGGTAGTCAACGTGTCACAGCCACTCACACAGGCAGTGTCAGGGTCTGGATGGAACCCACGACCTCCTGCGTACCAGCCGAGGTAGTCAACGTGTCACAGCCACTCACACGTCGCTCCGCTGTGTGTAGACGCGGTGCAGCAACGCCTCCGGTGCCATCCACTTCACCGGCAGGCGTCCCTGGAGGGGCGACAGGTGACGAGGGGAGGTCCAACGACGCACAGCCTGACCCTTGACCCTTGACCCACCACCACCACCCTTTTAATCCACCACCACCCTCTCCCCTACCTCCCTCTCTTTCTTTTTTACGATCAGAGGAAACAAGAAGATGCTCGGTGTAGTCGGCACTTTGCTTCGTTCATCATTTCGTAATTTTTTTCAATGTTTTGCTTATGTGCCCCCCCTCTTCTTTTTTTCAAATGAAAGATTTCATGAAAGATTCTCTCTCTTCTCTCTCCCCCCCCCCTCTCCCCCCTTCCCCGGCATGACCACCGCCACCACCACCACCTCCTCCACCGCCACCACCGCCACCACCCTCCACCACCGCCACCACCACCACCCTCCACCACCGCCTCCACCGCCGCCACCGCCGCCACCACCGCCACCACCGCCACTCACGGCAGCAGTCTTGTGCTGGTAGTAGTAGTCACGTTCGCCGCCCACGTCGCGGGTGAGGCCCAGATCAGCGATTTTCACCGAATAGCCGCCACCAACTCCGCCGTCAACGACGAGGACGTTCCTGGCCGCCAGGTCCCGGTGAACGCACTGTGACACCGACACACACGGTGCGTGGGTAGGTGTGTGTGGGTAGGAGATGTGTGTGGGTAGGGTGTGTGGGTAGGAGATGTGTGTGTAGGGGTGTGTGGTAGGGGTGTGTGGGTAGGTGTGTGTGGGTAGGGGTGTGTGGGTAGGGGTGTGTGGGTAGGGGTGTGTGGGTGCCGGATGGGCAACTCTGTCATGGACAGTGCTGTGGGGGGAGGGCCAATGCCGATTGGCCTCTCCCGTCATGGCGTCTGCGACCACCACAGTGGCTAAACGGGGGCTCTGGACGGGTGCAATGGGTTGGTAACCCCTCCACCTTCAATTAATTACCACTAAACCACAAATTAAATATGTAACTAATAAGTTTGTGGCGCAGGCCATGGGGGGGGGGGACAGGTGTCTATGACGTCTCCTGGCCAAACCCCAATTGTCAGAACCAGGAGATTGAATCTTCACCCTTGGGGCTTCTCCAGAAACAACGAAAAACCACTTCGTGTGGCGAGGTGGAATGTTCGAACACTCACTGCGGAGGAGAGGCTAACACTCCTTTGTCGGGAGCTGGACCGTACCGCCTGGATCGTTGTGGCATTCAGGAGGTCCGGTGGACCGGTCCTGGCTCCTGCCACCATAAGGGTGGACAGTCCTTTACTCGGGGCAGGAGACTGCCAAACAACAGGGTCTGGCTCTTCTTCTGAACAAAAAATGAAGGGGGCGTGGGAGCATGGCGGTGAGGTGTGGGAAGTTGTAAGCCCCAGGCTACTGTGGGCTCGCCTTCCCATCAACCGGAGACGAGGAGTGGTGGTCGTGGTTACTTATGCCCCACCGAACACGAACATCCGTGGAGGGATGCAGGCAAAGCCGATGAGTCAAATGCCTTCTATGACCTCCTGTCACAGGTGCTGGCTAGATTGGCACTCGGGATAGAGTCATCTTGTTGGGTGACTTCATGCCTGAGTTGGTCATGATGCTGGCAGCTGATCTGGAGTGATTAGAAGGCATGGGCCAGATCAGCTCAATAACAACGGTAGGAGGCTGCTAGATTTTTGTGCAGCCCATGGGCTTGTAATTACCAACACGCTCTTCCGGCATTGGCGCATCCACACAAACATCATGAATGCATGACGGGTCCAAGCAAAAACATCTGCTGGTCTACATAGTGACGGACCAGCGGATGCGAGCCAATGTCCTTGACACCAGGACCTACCGTGGAGCTGATATGCCCTCTGGACCAATCGACTAGTCATCTGTAAGATGCGCCTGCCATTCTTCCACTCCGGTGGTGGGTGTACACCCAGGACCCCCTTCCAACCTAAAGTGGCCTGGTCTCAGCTGATGAAAGTTGCAAGTGAGAATTCATCATTGCTTGCAGATGGGGTTGGCATCGTCCCAACTCTCCTGATGTCGAGGGTTAATGGGCGAGGTTTTAGGACTGTGGCTCATGCAGCTGCAATGGGTGCTTTGGATACGCGGTCCGACCTCTCCAGAGACCCTGGCTGACAGAGGAGGTATTCAGGATAGTTGAGAAAAAGCGACATGCCCACTCTAATCGTCGACAGCATCCCACGTCAGAGAATGAGAGGCTTACCGCAGCCTTCGCTCGGAGGTTCGGAGAGCCGTGAGGCGCTGCAAGGATGGGTGAGGGTTATGGGTTGCTGAGGAGACGGAGTCTGCCTGAGTGGCTCACGATCACAAATCACTATTTAACTCCATCAAAAAGTTATCTGCAGCGCCACACCTATTTCCATCATAGGGGAAAAACGTTGATCCAATCTCCGACCCCCAGGAACAGGTTTGCAGATTTGCTGAGCATTCTGTGAGGTCCCTGGGGGAGGGGAAATCCCTCAGCCAGGAAACATCATGGCGCAAAGTGGGGATAACCCTGCCGAGGCTGCGGTGCCTCAAATATTGAGGAAAGAGGTCACCCCCTGTGAGTGGCTGGCTGAGGTGCCATCTGTAGAGGAAGTACTGAAGGCGATCCGGAGTCTGAGACAGGACAGGCACCGGCAGAGATAATCTCCCAAGCGAAATGCTGATGGAGGGTGGCGTTTGTGCACAGACTGCCCTACATGATATCATAAAAAAAGTCTTGACCACTGGACGGGTTCCGGAGGATTGGAAGGATGCCCTGGTGGTCTCCCTCTTTAAGAAGGGGGACGACACAGACTGTAACAACTACAGGGGCATCTCACTCCTGTGTGCCGGGAAAGGGTCCAGGCAAGGATTATTCAACATCGCCTTGCTAGACACACTGAGGAGAGGCTTGCGAGCCCCAATTCGGTTTCAGGAAAGGGCGGTCCTGCACAGATGCCATATTTTCTGTCTGTCTGGTACAGCAGAGGTGTAGGGAATTCCAACAAGACCTACATCTCTGCTTTATTGACCTGGTCAAGGCCTATGATACCATCAGGAGGCCTGGGCTCTGGGTTGTTCGTGCTTTCGGAGTCCCTGATCCACTGCTCACGATCATTAAGGACCTTCATGATGGTGAGTGGGCCCGGGTAAAACTACGTGGCCGGGAGTCGGAGACATTCGCTGTTTATTTTGGGGTGCGACAGGGATGTCCTCTGGCTCCCACATTATGTAACATCTATTTCGACCACGTAGTTCGTGAAACCTTCAGTAGCTGTACCGGAGGAATTTACATGTGGTACAGATACAATGGGAGGCTGATTGATGCCCAGGTGCGGTCAAGGGATGGCTCCCTATTGCTCAACCATGTTATGTATGCCGATGATCTGGTAATAGCTGCTCACTCAGAAGAGGAGTTGGAGGCACTGCTGCTGGAACTGGAGCGTGCCACTAAGATGTGGGGACTTATCATCAGCCCCACCAAAACTAAGCACCTGCCTGGGTATTTTGTACCATCGGACACTCCACCCCCACAACTCCCAACTGGTCTTGGGGCAGTTGTGCAGAGAGTGGAGAGTTCCCATACCTGGGCAGTGTGCTCATGACCGGCTCCGGTTTGACAGCAGAGGTCTCACTCCGAATCAGTCGAGCGGCAATATCTTTTCATCGGTTGCATACCGCTGTGTGGAAGCTACCTGGTCTGTCGCTCCGCACGAAACTTCAGGTCCTCTCGGCCACAGCCATTCCCTCCTTTCTCTACGCTTGCGAAACATGGACCCCCCTAATGGAGCATCTTCACCGGTTAGAAATATTTAGGCTGGCCTGCCTACGATCCATCCTGGGTTTAACCAGGCTGGATTGTGTGAGGAGCTCATATATCCTTGAAAGATCTGGACGAAGTCCCATCGGTGAGCTCCTCCGGTAGGCAAGGCTGTGTTGGCTGGGCCATGTCGCCCGCATGCCCAGCCACCGCATGCCTAAACAGCTTTTGTTCGGCCTGGATTGAGGGGGCTAAACGGGCGCAACACTGGGCTAGAAGAAGAGATGGAGTGATGTGGTACAGGAGGACGTGGAGCTGAGTAGACTTGCCGATGACTGGTACCAGCGGTGTCAAGATCGGCCTCTGTTGAGGAGGCTCGTGAAGGACGCTACTGGGCAGTTGGATGCAGTCGCCCTCCAACAACAACGAAGGGCAGAGGAGCGACGCTCACAACAACGAGCGGAGCACCGGGTGGCTAAAGCGCAGCCAATTGGTACAGTAGGGGGCACAGGTGGTGCATCAGCCAGTCATCTCGGTCATCTCAGTCAGTCAACCCGTGGCACCTGGGTCTGCCCCGTGACCTCCTCGACATTTCACGTGGCCTCAAGGTGCACATGGCCTGGCACAAGCGTCGTGGTGACGTCACCGCCACTTAGTGGCGAATGGCGGTTGTTGTTGTTGTTCTAGATTTGAAGCTTTCGTGACTGCAAGGATTCATACTCTAAGTTTATTCAGTAAAGTCACGTAGGTAGAAAATGAAATTTAAATTAATAAAAAAAATAAAATAAAAATCACGACGTTTTGGAGGCAACACAAGTCTCCGTCGTCTGGGGACCGTCACAGCCAGACTTGCTGTATCAAGTGAGGCAGGGATTCCAAGATGCAAGTTCTTAACTTGTATTTAAGATTTTTATTATTTTTTATTAATTTTAATTAAATTTTTTACCTACGTGACTTTACTGAGAAAACGAAGAGTATGTTGTTGTTGTGAGTGGGTAGATGTGCGTGCGTGGGCGGGTGTCGTCGCTGCACCTTCTTAGAGGTGAGGTACTCCATGCCGCGTGCCACCTGGCAGGCGAAGGCCACCAGCTGCAGCATGGAGAGCGTTTCGCCCTTCACCTCGTCGCCACCACCACCGCCACCACCGCCACCCGCCACACCGCCACCACCACCGCCGCCGCCACCGCCACCACCGCCACCACCGCCGGCTCCGTAGCCGCCACGCGCCGTGCACTCTGCGGGGCGTGCGGTGTGCACGCAGGAAGTCGCGCAGATTCCCCTTGGCCGCAAACTCAACGATCACGAGCAGGGGGCCTGGGAGAGTTGGGGGGGGGAAGGGGCACAGTGAGATGTTAACTACCTCGCCTGGTCTACAGGAGGTCGCGAGTTCAATTCCAACTCTGACGATGCCTGCTGCTGCTGCTGTTGTATATGTGGAGTCTGCGTGTCTCTTTATCATCATCACGATGGCTATGCGATGTTAACTACCTCGCCTGGTATACAGGAGGTCGCGAGTTCAATTCCAACTCTGACGATGCCTGCTGCTGCTGCTGTATATTTGGAGTCTGTGTGTCTCTTTATCATCATCACGGTGGCTATGAGATGTTAACTACCTTGCCTGGTACACAGGAGGTCGTGCGTTCGATCCAGATGGATTTTTATTTCCTCCGTGTCCTACGGTTTTCCCCTTTTCACATTTGGAATCGACGTCGCTACTAATGTCCACCAGAAATCGTCCGTGATGGCCAGGTGGCTTCCGGAACAAGAGCAACGCAGCTCGAGGGGGGGGGGGGGGTCTTGCCTGACGACATACAAACTAGTGAGCAGCGGCGGGCAAGTCGCTCTCAACAGCAAACGTCACTGGGGCTGCCGCTGTCAAGCAAAGCGGCTTGAGCTGCCGTGAGTGGTGGCGGCGGCGGCCAGGGGTCGCTGCTGAAGAGGAGCCACACAGGCAGCGGAGCGGAGGCCTCGCCTGCTGCTCGAATTGTCTACAAGTTCGTGTTGGTTTCATTGGCTTCGAAATAGAGAGGGGGACGGGGGAGGTGCAATGATCACAATCCCGAGTCACCAAGAAGACGACCCAACTCTCGGCTTTGCCAAAATCACTCGCGAAGCCAAATTAGTCCACAAGGTGAAGAGTTCATCGCCATCACGAGGGAGGGGGGCTGCTCACCCCCCACTCACCACCCCCCCACTCACCACCCACACTCACCACCCCCCCACGCTCACCACCCACACTCACCACCCCCCACACTCACCACCCACACTCACCCCCCCACACTCACCACCCACACTCACCACCCCCCCCCCCCACACTCACCACCCACACCCCCCCCACCCCCCCCCCCACCACCCCCCACGCTCACCACCCACACTCGCCACCCACGCTCACCACCCCCCCCACACTCACCACCCACGCTCACCACCCCCCACTCACCACCCCCGCTCACCACCCCCCCACTCACCACCCCCCCGCTCACCCCCCCCACACTCACCACCCCCCACACTCACCACCCCCCCCCCCCGCTCACCACCCCCCACACTCACCACCCCCCCACACTCACCACCCCCCACGCTCACCACCCACACTCACCACCCCCCCCACGCTCACCACCTCCCCCACACTCACCCCCCCCCACACTCACCACCCACCCCCCCCACACTCACCACCCCCCCCACGCTCACC